GCACAGGAGCAACCTCCAGGTTCTCCTGTGGTTTTTGACACTGGTTTTTAGAATTGATGGTCATGGCTTCATACAGACATCCTCAGCTGTCAGACAGAACCCTTTGATCCTGCCTGAGACACCAGGCTGGATGGAGCTCAGCAACTCAGGCTTGGAGCAGTTTCACAAGCTGTTTCATTACTTTGGTTTGGATGTAAAGTACCCCTTTTTTTGTACTTGGATTAAAAAGTCAGAGCAAACTCAAACCCAGGAAAATCCTGGACTCACAGACCATGTTTTCAGGAGCTTCTGAGGCCATGTCCAGCTCCAAAAGCCACAAGATGTGTTGGAAGCTGTGGCAGAGGAGAACCTGCCTGCTGCTGGACAACCCTGCACCACAAACCAGCTGCATCTCCCACACCACCGAACAGCCAGTGAAACCCTAAATGCTCCAATCAGAGCACCTCTTTCCTCATCCCAAACCTTCTACTGGCTTCTGATCATCCATCCCCCTCCCCATCACGCCCCCACAGCCCTCTGAGCACATCAGTTGCTAATTAGATGAAGCTGCAGGTAATTAGGTGACAGCTACCTGTGCTTGCCCAAACTCCTTCTGCTTCCTGGCTGCAGTAACTGTGGGGGTGTCCCTGGCTCGGGGGTCCACCCGCAGTTCCCCTGGGTGGGGGTCACAGCTGCCCTCTCAGGGGGTGCCACCCTGTCCTGGGCTCTCTGACCGCTGGCCAGAGCTCTCTGCTGTTTGTGTGACCAGATCAGTGATGGGTGGTGGGTCACAGCGGGGCACCCAGCACTTGGCACTGCCCGGGGCTGCCCGGGCAGGGCAGGTGCTGTGTCAGTCCTGCTCCCAGCCTGCCTGGCTCTGCCCCTCGTGGAATTCACCGGGGGAACATCTCCGTGCAGCCGGGAGCTGAGGAGTCGCTGTGGGCTGATGGTAGCACAGGTCAGGAGTGGGCCAAGAGGAGCCCAGGAAATTACCTGGCTTTGCTAATGTTCTTTATTTATTTATTGTATCTTTTTTTTCCCCACGTGCTTTTAGGAGATTCTTAATAAAGGGAGGGTTGGTATATTAACCTCACATTTTTGCTACTGAAAGGACTCTCTGGTCTGACTTCTACAGGAGATATTTTGACAACAAAACAGTGCAGCTATGATTAGCCTGATAAAAGGGAGCCAGAGTTGGAGTATTGATGGTATGTGCATGTAGGATCTAGTTACAAAATGGGCTTTTAACCACATTTTCCCTTGCGAATTCCTGTTATCAGAGGCCATCTTAAAAGAAGAAAAAAAAGAAAAAGAAACAAAAAAGGCAACCTTTCTTTTTCATTTTAGATGGGGATGTTTCTTGTATTTCTTTATGCTTATGAAAGATGGGTCATTAATAGCCCTGACCAGAAGCACATACGGAGCAGTGTGTGCTGTGCAGATCTCCCCAGCCAGCTCCATGGGAGCAGAGCAGCACTGAGCCTCTGCAGCTCCGGACCCAGCTGTGGCTTCATGAGGGAGCTCAGCAGTCCCAAAGGATTGTATCCAGACCAATAGAATAGACTTTTCAGGCTTTTTAAAAAAAATCTAATTTATTTTGAGAATACATTTTCAGAGCTGATTAGCTGCCCTACTAAATCACTGCACTGTCTAACCCCAAAAAGCTGTCCTGACAAACAATTAACAATGGAAACACCATTGTGGCAACCAGTGATGGATGGCTCCAGGGTGCAGCTTGGGCCCAGGCTTTGTTCAGAAGAAAGTTGCTGCTGCTAAATAAAGACATGAGTAGTAAAAGGTGAGAGCAGAGAGATTGTATCTGGAATAAAACTATTTGCTCTGCTTGGGGTGTGTTTCTCACAGCACTGGGCATCTCAGGAGAGGCAGGAGAGCTTCATGGCTCTGGTTGTGATCACAAACAGCCAGGCACCAGGGAATCATGGAATGGTTGGGGGGGGAAGGGACCTTAATGATCATGTTCCACCTCTGCCCTGGGCAGGGAGACCTTCCACTGTCCCAGGCTGCGCCAAGCCCCAGTGTCCACCCTTGCCAGGGATCCAGGGGCAGCCACAGCTGCTCTGGGCACCCTGTGCTAGGGCCTGCCCACCCTGCCAGAGAAGAATTTCCTCCCAAAATCCCATCTAAAGCTGGCCTCCTTCAGCTTAAGGCTATTCCCCCCTGCCCTGTCACCCCCAACCCTTGTGGAAAGGCCCCTCCAGCCTTCCCCTTTAGGCACTGGGAGGAGCAGCAGAGCCAAACTTCCTTCTGCCACGAGCTCTGGGATTTCTCTTAAATCCTTTTAAGAGCACGGTTTTGAGTTAATTTCTCTTGCCACAGGCAGTTTCCTGATTCCTACTGTTCTGTCATTAATCTCTAATTGTTATTCTAAATTTTGTGTTAATTTACCAACTTGCCTGTAACTTATTACTCTAAAGAGAAGTGGAATCAGTTATCACAATGCCTAATATTGATTTTATTATGCAGATATTAGAATCTATTTGTTAGAAGTAATAAATATGAAGACAGTGTAAAAAAGGAAGCTGGATATGCAAACCCTATAATGGTAGGTAAGGATTAGTTACTACAGACCACTCAAAAGACATTGTGGTTGAAAGGATGATTTAAGATCTACAGCATTTTAAAAATTATAAAAAAGCCTGAGAAACTTTGCCAAACAAGCCAAACTACCTCCTGTAATCTGCACAGGAATGTTATTTTATGTATTACTCAAATGCATCTAGGTCACGACTTTTTTAGGAATGAACAGAGGAAGAGAAAGTCATTGATTAGTCCAGTAAGTTATTTTCTCAGGGAAGTTAGCCATTCTCCACTTTTTCTGAACCCCAAGAAAACAGTTTGCTTTTCCTTGACCTGTCCCATACCAGTGTGCTGTGTTAAACAGCTGAGGTTGAATTATACTTACCATCACTAGCTCACCCAAAGAGCACCTGCTTCAAGCCTTGGATTTGTTCTCATCAATACCTGCTGCCCTCTACTCACACCCTTGTCCCTGCTGCTGGGTGCGCTCCAGAGCTGGGAGCCTTCATTACATTGGAGGCTGCAAAAGCCTCGGGGCAGCTGCTCCCACCGCCCCAAATGCCCTGGAGGCGCTGAGGGCTGCCCACTGCTGCCCGCTTTTCCCTCTCCCGCTTTTCCCTCTCCCGCTTTTCCCTCTCCCCTCTCCCAATTTCCCTCTCTCCCTTTTCCCTCTCTCCCTTTTCCCTCTCCTCCTTTCCCTCTCCCCCTTTCCCTCTCCCTTTTCCCTCTCCCCTTTCCCTCTCCCCCTTTCCCTCTCTCCCCGCTGCGCTGTCCGCCTGCAGTTCCGGCCGTGCCCGCCAGGTGCCGCTCTGACAAAGAGGTTGCGGCGGGCGCTGCCCGCGGGGCTCGGGGCTCCCCCGAACCCGAACCGAACCGAACCCCGAAGCCGAGCCCCAAACCGACATCCTACGCCCCAAACCCTGCACCTCCCGAGCCCCGCACTCCCCGAACCCCGCACCCCGCAGTCCTGCACTCCCACCCCTCCGCACCCCCGCATTTCGCTCCGTGCTCCGTCCCGGGCCGCCCGCTGGCTCCGGGCGCAGAGGGAAGCCCGGCCCGGCTGCTCGGAGAGGCTGTGGGGCGCCGAGGTGGTGGGAATCATCCTCCGCACCAGGCAACGCGGAGCGATGGAGAACTGGGCTGGGACACCCCTTCCCTGCCCCGGGAAGTCGGCAGGGACGGACCCGGCGCACCCCCGGGACCGGCTGTGCCCCGCTTGGATCCCCCGGGATGGTTCGGGAGAGCAGGGGGTCCGTGCGGCCGCTGCCCCTCGAGAGGGGCTCCAGCCCGGCTTCTCGGGGGGCTCTGGCCCGGCTCCTCTGAGGGACGCTGAGGAATCCTGTCATCGTGTTTCTGTCATCAGAAAAACATTATCAGCAGAACAATTCCCGCACCACACCCCTGTTATCATTTAGGTAACCTCCCTGTTTGAAATATTTTAAGTGGATAATAAAATAGTCACCATATCCGTGTAAATTCCCGCAACGAGGAGCCGGGATCCTCTTCCCGGCCGGGCCGGCGCCCCCGCCCGCGGCAGGCGGGCGGCTCCGCGGAGCTCCCGGGCGGCCGCAGCCCCCGGGCCGCCCCCGGCGTGGGCTCCGACCGCGGACACGGACGTGCGCCCGGTGCCACGGGGACCGAGCCCTGCCCTGTCACTGGAAGGATCGGCCACAAGACCGGCGGGGAGGTCACTGCGGGCACTCGGGGCTCCCTCTCGGGGCCCCCTCACCTGCCGGTGCCGCCTCGCCCCCCGGTGCAGCGCTCCGGGGATGCTGCGGCCGCCCGGGGCTCACCTCTGCGCGGGGACCGGGAGGCTGCGGGACAGCCCGCGACACGCGGGAGGCAGACCGGGGGGAGGAGCGTCGGGACAAACGCATAAAACCGGCCCCAGGTGCTCGGCAGCCCCGGTGAGCGGGCGGCGAGCGCGGAGTCAAAGCTGCGGCCCCGCTGCCGGCGTGGAGCAGCGCGGGGTGCGGGCCCCCAATGCCGCCCGGCGGGCCGGGGCCAGCCCCGGGGGCGTCCCCCGGTGACACCCCCCGGAGCCCCCGCCGCCTTCCCCCGGGCCGTGCCCGCAGGAGGAGGATCGCGCTGAGCCTGCCCGCCGGCAGGTGATCCGTCTGCCGCTCCTGTTCCCCTCCTGCCCACCTTCCCGCCGCGCTTTGCCCCCCCGGCTGGACAACTCCCTCCTCTGGAGAACACGCCCAAGTAGCTGAAAAAGAGAGAAAGAGAGGGAAAAAAAAAAAAAAAAAAAAAAGGGGGTGGGGGGGTGTTGTGTGAAGAAGAAAGAGAGCCAATTCACACCGAAGGTGGGGACGCGGCTGGCGCTCGCGGGACGCCGCAGCCCGTCCAGCGCCGCGCTCCCGGACAGCGCCCGCGGCCGGAGCGGGGCCGGCAGCCGGGCGGAGCGCAGCCCCGGCGGG